ACCCCCCACAGAAGAGGCTGATTAGAGAACAAGATTATTGGGAACTGAAACTTAGATTTCATGTACCGTGGAAATACTCTGAGCTATGAGCTTGAAATTCGTGAGTAGGCTTCATGGGTAATCCTTTCATGACATGAAACATGTCTACTGAGACAGTAAATATTGCAAAAAAAAAGAACTCACGGTGGTGGTGCAACGTGGTCGGCAATAAAGTTTTTGAATGGTGGACAGACACGATCCATCAAGAAAACAAAGCTCGCCATAGAGTCGTCGCGAGATCTTTGACCCAGATCCCGCCAGGCTTTTCTGAAAATCTCACTTTTAAGTTCTTTTCAACAGATAGCGTAGAGAGCCATGTTGCAGCGATGGTTGGCCGAATACAGGCAAGCAGCAGCAGTACGATAAAATAATCATTTATTTTCGGAGTTACAGTTCCCTTTTTGAAAACGTACAACCCTGTTCATACAACAGGAATAACTAGTGACTAGAAACAGCTGATCAATTGCAAATTTGCCCCTTTTGGTTTGCTGTTAGATGTGTTTGCTGTAAAATTGATTCATCAGCCCGTCAGCGCCTCTTCTAATCCTCCATGTGAAGCGCAGCTCCCGCAATGTGAAGGTACAACAGATTTTAGATTTTCATCCAACAGATAGGAATCGAGAAAAGGCAGAATGAGAGCAATGGTGCATTGCAAATGACACAACTAAAGTCCACTATTGATTTCGTTCCGAACACTGATGATGGAAATTCAAAACAGTACAAAGCAACGGTTAACAATTCCAAAAAAGCTAAACTATTTGTAAAGAGGAATAGTTGTAACTAAATACTGTGAGTACGGAATTTGTATGCTAGCTTCCACTAAATCAAAAGGGTACTTCATTAGATGTGTACAAATTTTTTACTGAAGGAATAATTGAAATAGTAGTGAAGAATTATAATACAACTTGAGAACATAAGTCGAAGGCGTTTGGCCGCAGGCACTCCCGATAAATTTGTTAGGGACTAGCCTTTACAGCATTGGAGCACTTAGATGACCTTTCAGCCTCTTCATATTATGATGAGGCAACGCTTTTTCTCCTTTTTTATTTCTGGTTTAGAACCTTGATGGTTGAAAATTTGACAGCGACACTACTTCACGATACCACAGTTTATACTAAACGCAAACTAGGCCCTTTGACCATGAGAGTTCCCTGAGTGGAATCTGATTCACAACTAAAGTAGAATCTTCAACTTCGACATTAGGAACTAAAATTTTCGTTAAAAAAAAGTAATAATATGATAGCCATGCGCAGAGGTGGCGCCTCGCTGGTGGCCCAACGGCGCATATCTGATAATCACCACCCTTCAAGACAAACATGTCTGCCATCCCTCTGGGGTAAACTAATTGTGCAACATTTGTTTGGAAGGATAAGAATATTGACTTCTGCGCCAGGCGTTTCTACAAGCCATTTTCTCGTCAAAACACACATCTGAGCCCTTCTACATTTCTTAAGGAATGACGATCGCGTAAATAAGGGATCGGCCAGTGGGTGTCACAATACGCCCTGTTCGTGGGACGCGCATGAATGTCCAACAACTTGAAGGGTACACGCGAACGCTGAGCAACTCTGGGTTTTCGCATTCAGGAGGCTTTCTTTCAGTTTTCTAAGAATGAAAATTCAGGAACTGCTATAGCAGTGATGTAGAAACTCAAAATTAACAGAGACTACGGAGAACTACTTCAGGAGAAATTGGTGCACTCCGGCCTGCCAGAGGCAATGAAGTGTTCCTTGTGCGAGCTACGTCATCTTCCAGCCTAATTGTTCCTCGTAGTTTGTGAGGGACTCTAGTTTTGGTCTTCCACGAAAGTGAAAAAGGAATCGTATACCACTGTCTTGTCTTCTCCACAGAAGATATTGAAAAGTGGACAGTGGTCTGCTCTACTTATCACTTCAAGGTACTTCACGCACTCAATTCTGCTCAAAATCACATACATGCGTACATTTGAATGCGTATTTGACCACAATACTCGCAGCTCAGCCGATATTAATTTGAGGATTCTCGTTTTGCCGGCTCACCAGGAATGTCTTTCAGGGCGTGACAAGCTTTTTGAAAACGGTCTTTTGCATGATATAGGGGCAGATGCGGGAACCACAGAACCATGTTTAATTTTTCCTGAACGGCCCTCTGAATACCAGAAAAGGAGGTCCCTAGTTCGATTCCTCGTGGTAACAAATTTTTGCATTTCGAGCTTGACGTTTCCAAAATCTGCGCAAAATGGAGTTAGCGCAAAGAGTAGGGATTATGTTCACATTAGGATCATAAGTTCACAATTAGGACATTTTCAGCCATTTAGATCAGAGACTACTTGCGGATCACTCCGCAATTAGTCCCTTGAGCTGGTTAAAACAGGTGACATTAAAACGGGCCAATGTGGCGCCGAGTGGCTCTATAGCTCGACGCCAGATGACGTTCACGCCAAAAACGAATGTCATGGACATTATCAGGGAAGTGAGCAGGGTCAATCCAATGTTGCGACAAGTCCCAGCGGCGAGGAGGCGACGGTCGTATTTTGTTGAGATTTGCAGGTAGTGAGACGGTCTATTCGACTGTAATCTTAGAATTCAGGGGTTGGTTTGACGACGCGCGTCTTCGACGGCTGTTGTGGAGGAAAAGTGGAATGAAGTTAGGCGTGTCGACTGTCTCATCGTCGCAACGGTAGGACCCGATACTTGCACGGAGTAACCCTTAATCACAAGCTTCACAGAAAACCAAAATTCTGACCCACTCTCACAACTGCGAAGAATCAGCCAGACTCAATGGTAGCCGATTCGGAGGCGATCTCCTAGCCATCACGAAATTTATTTATTTATTTAGACTGCGCTCCTGCTGCGCCCAAACTTGTTTTAGTCGAACATCAAGCGAAGGAAGAACCAAATGAGAAATCCCATCCCAATGACACAGCGCACCAAGCGGTGATGGTTGAGAGGTCACGCATGATGACTAGATCGCTAGGTTACCCTCCTTGTCATTAGCAGGTTGAGTTCTTGCGCCTGCCACAGAATTAGCCCTAATGTAAGTAAGTAGATCGGCTTCACAAAAACAACGTGGTGTAAGAGGTCCCCAACGGAAAAAGGGTCTCAGTTTCCCGTGTTGGTCACTAGAGCGTAATCCTAATTTCGTCTCGAGTTCGTCTCCAAGCCGTCCGGGACACAATTGACGGGTTAAACCTACAATGAGTCCAATTTCCAAAGACCAGTCAGAATCTCAATCTTCACCGAAAATTCGGTTTAGGGGTAATGACGAGAATCTATATTGAGTGGTTATAGCGAGAATCTAACGGTCAACGCTGTGGACATGCGGCACAATAAAGCAGCAAACGGCAGTTCCCAAGACAAATCCTTCTTCACCCTTTTTTTGGTATTCAACAAGCCGTTTAGGAACAATAAATAACAGTTCTACGATTACGCACGTGGTCCTATATAGAGCAATTCGTTTTGAAAAAGCTTGGAAAGCCCTAAATGACCTTACTGATGTGTTCCACATTAATCAGACAAGCTCAAGAAGCAGGACTGCCCCGATTCGAGATTCTAGAGAGCGAAGAGTAGCACCTAGCCATTGTGCAGAATCTGCCCAACACATAATTCCCACAAAAATGAAGTGATATAAAAATATAGCGACATGCTGCAACGCCTTGATTACGCATGTTGTGGGTTGTATTATTGTCGTATTGTCAGACATTTGTATCGTATAAGTGACACAAATACGAGAATTTTCCACTGCTCCTTGGATAGTAGAACTAATAAAATTGACCACCCAGAAAGGTATGTTGTAAAAACGTTACGCTACACTTTTGCCCGTTCTGATTTTACTTTTAATTGTGTTTTTCACCAAGCTTGATCAATGGAAAATTTTCCACCTGTGCACAACCTGTCCATAACGTCTCAGTGGCTTGCTCCGTCTACAAAACGTTGACGGCAGCCAAGGAAAAGCGAGCAGACTCCTTTTCAGTTTGAAGTTGGAGTCGATTTTTTATAACGAATATGATGGTTCAAAACACTCGGAAATAAGTGATATTTTTCGGTATCCGACACTGATATAAGCTAGGAGAAGCAGGGGTTTCCGGCTCAACTCCAGCATTCTCTGGAGGACGTGGCGAGCTCCTTTTTGTGTTGCTGAGGCGCAATGACGTGAAGGAAGCAATATTGGCGCGTTAAGGGCGTTTGTGACGAACTATCTCAACCTACATACTGGAATTACGCAGAGCGAATCTCTAGCCACTGCCAATACCAACAACGAAGAGGTTCTCGCTGAGCTTCCCTGACAATGGTTTCAGTGAACAGTTCGACGCGCGGTTAGGTTCAAAGCAAATTTCTTAGAATCAAGGGCGTTGTCGCAAGTGCGATTCAGTGAGAATTATGCTCCCACTGAACGTGCTGCGTCGTTGTTAGTCGTCATCGTGGAGGGCGTGACTGTGGAGATATTTGTGGTAGACAATAATTTGTAGAACAAACTGACAAAACGGCGAGTTTTTACGGATATTTTCTGATATTTAACTGATTGTGGTGCCTTTTTCATCGATGATAGATTAATTGTGAATTTTGCCCACGAATTTTCGACACAAAAAAAACATTGAACGGAGAGTGTTGCAGAGCATTCTTCAAACGACTAGTTGTGGACGAGAAATCTAGTTTTAAACAGGTTCGAAACATTATTTTCAACACAATTCACAAACATTTTCGCTTTTTGATCAGCGCTTAGAATTTAAGATTGTTGAACCTCTCTCCTAATAATTACATACGCGCGCACAAAAGAACTCATATTTGGACAGACGCAAACACATGCCAACGAAACGCTTCTCGAAAACAGTAAGCTTGTAAATGAGCTACAGGACACCCGAAATGGCGATACGAGTTAACAACAGTTCATCTCTACCTATGCAACAGAGGTTGATCAAAGTAGAAGAACTAATCTGAGGAGAATTGCAAATGCCTAAGCCCCCAGCAAATTTCTTAAGCCCTATACAAGCTTCGGTATGATAACAGCAGTGTCGATTCGTTTTGGAAAAGCCAAGAAAATATCTGAAATAGAGACATTGTTATGAGTAAAGAGCTAGAAGTGGGCAATGGCAGGATGGCGAAATTGCGGCGAAAGGAGCCCATACGGCGAGATAGCAAATCTAATAAGCGCACTCGATTTGGCACTCTTTCCTTCAGCCAAAAGGATCCGAATTCCACCGCTGACAACGACAGCGATACAAGTTCTGATTCATCTGTTTTACAGCAGAAGAAAAAGTGGCCAGAGTCGAACAAACTCATTGCCGAGTGCGCCACGTCTTCGACTTCCACTCGGAATCGCAGAGGTATTCGAATGTTTATTTTGCTGGTCCCTGCAGCGCCTATGCCCGCGCTTGCGGGGATCAGCCCCATTCACAAGCCAATGAGTTTCGTTTGTTCTTCCACAAAAATCTGGTACCATTACATCAGCCGCTCTGGAGGATGAGGGGATAGGTGTAGAGTGCTGCTCGCTTGACATGGGCGCCTTCAGATACCCAAAACGCGCCTTCAAGCCACCGCGTAATTCCAGGACCAAATTCTCATTTTCGGAAAAAATGTTTTTGAAAATTCATAGAATACAGACGCTGCTTTCTTGAAAAATAATCGCACAAAACATTTTGCACGTGATTCCTCTATTTCGTTTCAGGCCCACTGTAACGATCTCATCGGAAATTGGAACCTATGAGAAACCACACAAGAAAAAAAAAGAGGCGTGAAGATTGGAGAGAAATGCGAGCGTGGAAGAGGAAGGGACACGTCATTTTCGTGAAAGTACCTCCCTTTGCCAAGTTGAGAAGGCATGTTCCAAAAGGCACGAAACTTGCTGCCAGCTATGGGAAAAAAGGACGGATCTGAAGCTTTTAAGTAAGCAATTATATCTAAGGTAGTTTTATATTTGAGCTTATGATCCAGGATGGCCAAAAAAGACACTTCACTTCACATCCAAAACAGTATTAATCACATTTTGCTGAATTCAAACCAAATGTTCCTAACTGGAAACTGAAAAGCTTAGTTCAGTCTATAAATAAACGTCAAAATAGCTTTCTGCATCAGCGACATCAGAAGAATTTGCCATGGGAACCCTGTGCACGGTTCAAGCTCAACGTGGTCCTCGATGGATGGTGGGCCATTACGTTATCTGAAACGCTGGTAGAAAGGGCGCTGCACTGTCAAAGACTGTCCGTGGAAAGCTAACCATAGTCATCGATTTGAGGAATTTTGTAGCAGCTTCAGACTGGAGTACTTACGGTAGGCCTCCTTAAGCTCAACGGTGAAGGCAGATGACATCGTTGTCCGCAGACGGTGAGGGCAAATAACAGGGCGTGCATCTGCGTAGAGAGGCATTTCAGAAATATTCTGTCGGAAGACATCCATCGACCATGGCACCTGTACGAGTTAAGACCTCGCTGATATGCGGCACGAGCAAAACGTGTCTTTTTTGGCCATCTCTGTAGTTATAGAATGCTGCATATACACCTACGACGCAAATATTTTTCACTTATCACGACTACTAAACAGCACGCCACAAGGTAAAGCAAAGAATACTTGCGAGCCGATTTTATCATCTCACGCTCGTTCGTTACCATCCACTTCACATCTCATACCACCACAATCCTCATATGAAGCGCTTTAAAGCTGCTTCTCAAAAGACAGACCTTCAGTCTGTCATGGTTTACGACTTAACACTTTTCCTCCCGAACGACCTTTTTTTTACTAGTTCTTGAACCCTAACGTATTGCCAGCCTTACCTATGATTGCGGATATCATGTCAGTAAGATTCGACATCCAATACACAGGAGGAAAGGATGGCCACCAAAATTAACGGAATGGCAGCGAAGATGTTTTTCGTCACCGCCGGGCCTTCGTCATAGATGAAACGAACAATGAAATTCGATGGAACATCGAAGAAATTAAATCGTCTTCAATAGTGCAACTCTGGTGCAGAAGACGCTCGCGGCATGTGGAGTCCGGAAAGCCATCATTGCCAAAGTGCCGTTGTTGTCGGTTAAAATCGATGGCCAAAAAACTGCACATTACCAAAGAGAAGATATAAAGACAGAGACATCGAAAATGAGGTGAAGCACCAAGGCCGGGGAAAAACCCGCGGCTCGGCAAATTTTGGTGAGTTACTGCTAGGAACCACCTTGAAGAAACAAAAAGGGAAGAAAAATTTATCACTCTAGCTGCAAACGATAAAAACTGCGGTCTTTGTCAGCGACGGAAAATCAAAGCCAAAAACATCATGGAAACGACAGCAAAGTGTTGTGCCCGGAGAAACTCAGTGAGGCCAATGTGACTGAGGCGACATCCGTCTTAGATTTCCCCTAGGAAATTTGAAAAAGAACGGATGGCTAAAAGATCTGCCCTCGTTGGAAGCGTCAAGTTTCAAAAAACATCCTAATGTTGGAGTTCAGCAAAACAAGCCTGATCTATAATGCAAAACCCCGGAAGAAAATATTACAATTAAGAAATAAGTAGTTAAAATAAAGTTCGCAGAAAATAAAACAAGCCTTCTCGCTGTAAACCGCCAGACAATTCTAGA